AACGCTATAGTCGGGTGCCCCGACTATCAGATACCCGTTACTCAGCTAAAGGGAGTGCGAAAGAGATGGAGAAAAACTTTGATCCGCCGTAACTTTTTAACGAATGGTCCGATTTAAAAAATTTCTTCTACATTTCGATAGGTATTGATAAACACAATAAAACTGCATTTTTACTTTTCCAAAATATTGAAATTTTTAAAATCGTATATAAGCGATTGTGGGCGTTAAAGGGGGTGTGGCACCATTTTGAAACAAACTTGCGCTGCGTAGGAACTCCTAGAATCTGCATGCAAAATGTCAATCTTCTAGCTTTTATAGTTTCCGAGATCTCAGCGTTCATACAGACAGACAGACAGACAGACAGACAGACCGACAGACAGACAGACAGACGGACAGACAGACGGACAGACGGACATGGCTAGATCGACTCGGCTAGTGATCCCGATCAAGAATATATATAGTTTATAGGGTCGGAAACGCTTCCTTCTACCTGTTACATACTTTTGCACGAATCTAATATACCCTTTTACTCTACGAGTAACGGGTATAAATATTTATTTGCTTAAGTCAAAAAGAATTGAATATAAAAATATAAAGAATATATACAATTAAAATTAAATCAATAGCTTATATAACCTTCAGTTTAAATTTAAAACATCTAAACGTTCTTTAAATGGAGCATCACATTTTACCTGTCCCTATAAACGTTCCAAAAAATAGGATCAAATAACTGAGCCATCACTGGCTCACAGCAGCAACAACTGCTGGTATCAAAAAAACAAGCAACAAACGGCAATCATAAAATCAACAACTATGAAATTCATCACCGCTCTGTGAAAAGCCTCGCCTCGTTGACACTTCCGCCTCGCTTTGGAGTTTGGACGAGTGTATAAAGTCTGAACTGGATTTGGATCGTCCGGCAGTAGCAGCAACATCAGCAACAGCAACAGCAACAAGCACGGCAGCAACACTCAACTCTGGACAGGCGACACAGCAGCAGCATCATCATCACTCACGGACGGAGCGGCAGCATAACGGTGACGGGTAAGTGAAATTAATTGCATTGTTTTTGGCCAATGAATTCCTAGTTGCCAGTTTTTGTTTTCGGCTTAAACGCCTTGACGCCTTTTTGCCAAAACACCAACAGCAACATCAACATCAGCAACCGAACAACGAGGCCAACAAGATTGGGAGCAGAGGGCATCATCACACAGCGGCCACAGCGCGTTCCTCTTTTCCGAAATCCATCTCCCCGGTCCGACTCCATATCCATATCCACAAACCCATTCCCATTCCGCTCCTTGGCCTGTGACATTTTGCAGTTCATCACATGTGATTGCCGCAGAATGTTGCACAAAACATTCAATGGGCACAGTGCTCTGGGAGTTGTCAAAATAGTATACCAACTAAAGGGAAATTAGAAAGGCTAGACTCAGAAATATTCACTTTGTTTTTTATTTTATTATTTAAAGATTTTATTGTATATAAAACATATTATAAAAAGAATTTATTGTCTAAAAAATAAAATGATAATAAAAAAAAAGTATTATATACTCCAGCATATCTTGATTCGTAATTAATGTTGAAGTAAAATATAAACACCTAAAATCATGTAGCCTTTAAAGGATTGAAGTGTCAATAAAATAAAAATTAAATTTTTAAAAAATTAGACAACCTTTTAAACATGAAAGGGTATCAGAAATCATTGTGAATTGTGATTTCGAGACCCCAGAGATTTCTGTTTTCTTATAACTCCTTTAAAAATGTATTGCAACGCGACATTATGCTTGGTTCAGTGTTTTATTGTAGGTACTCTAGTAAAGTAACCTAAGTAAGTAACCTTCCTAGATATAGTCCCAAAATAAATGCAAATATTTATTCCAGTTTTATGGACCTCCGGATGCAGTGTGCGGCAGTTAGGATGTTTTTAGATCCACTCGCTTCTCCTCCCCCGCCGCCAGTGGCTGTTGTCCTCATCGCTTTATCGCGCCTAGACGCAACTCCGGCCTGGAGCGCCAGTTTCAGTGGCATAACCATGCCCCAATCCCAGTCCCACTCTTCCTTGCAGTCCCAATCCGAATCCATCCAATGCCATATCCTGCCCCCTCTTGGCCAGGAGTCTCGTGGTGGCTCTTGCTCTAGTTAGTTACCATCATCAACATGTTGACATGTCTATGACTGCATGCATATGCATGTGTGCGCTGACATACTGTTTGTGACAGTGTGTGTGGGGCAGGGGTATGTTGTGTGTTTGTGCGTTGCAATGCGCTAACCAAGCTCAACAGCGTTTATCACTCATGCTTATGGTCTTGTTTTTGCGGTGATATATCACACTTGACACTCATTCATTCAGTTTCGGAGTTTAGTGTTTTGGGCTCGTTATGTGCCACTCCCACTGCCTAATTCCCCCCTTTCTCCGGGCCGCCATTTGAATTTCATCACATTCTGAGGCAGCAATGCGAACATAAACTTTCTCCTCTCCCCCTCGAGTGTGCTCTCCATTGTTTTTTGCCAATGGCAATTGCGTAGTTAACGGTCACACAACTATAGTTAGAGCTGCACTTAAAGATTAGTTATACCAGTAAGTTTAATTTAATTTTAAATTATTTTTTATTTAGATAAATGCGTATTAACTTAGCCTTGCGATTCCTTAAAAATGCTGGATAACTACTCCTCTAGTTTCTAAGCTTATAAATTGGTTACTAGATCTTAATAATACCCACTACACACAAAAAAAAAAACACGCCGGGATCAAATCGACATGCGCATGGTAAGTTTCCGGTATTCATACGCATATCGTTTTTACCATGCATAAATAAAACTCCTTCAGAACCATCATATTTCTGTTGATTCCGCGAGTCCCTGTTCATTTGTTTGGCCATGCATGGTACCCAAAAGTCGAGTTTTTGGGGATATCCAAATGGGGCAGTGTATGTGGAAGTGGCAATTCATCTATCTGCATCACTCATATGCATTTTGGAACCCAGCTCGGGTTTTTTGTGGGTTATTTGTCTTATTGTTGTTGCACGGGTTGGTTCTGTTTGTTTTTCAATAGCTCCACAAATGTTTATGCAGATGAATTGTATTTTGAGTTGTGTTTTTGTCTGGCTTGATGCTGCTAGACAATTGGAGGGCGGGTAGATGAAGCAGAAGAGTGGAGATGGCTCATCCGAAAAGGACTCTGAGCTCCTCACCGTTTGATGAATGGTGGCATGTGTTTGCCAAGCTTACCATAACGTGGCTGTAAGTTGTGGTTTGGAGTCCTACATCAAATGAAATTTGTTTATGAGGACTTTAACAGCAAAATTATTAGTTGGGCCATGTGTTTGCTTTCAGCTCAGAATAACAGGAAATTAAATTAAATTAGTGTTAGTGCGAGAAGTGTCTTGCAAATATTCTCATGCACCTACTAAATATTAAAAAAAAAGGTATAAGTAATTATATATTGTAAGAAACCGCAAGAATGTCCTACTTTCTTAGCTCTTGTTGCATACTTTTTTTTTAGACATGATTTTAAAAAAACATATTTTTTTCTGTGGATCTTTCAATATTTTTTTTTAAAAACAAATGCAATCTTTGCATGTAAAAATTGGTACGTAAAATTACGCCTGCCCTTGAAGCTTATTTATACCTCACATTTGCTTTACTATACCACACTTCTAGTTCAAGGCAAATTAATTAAAATCTCCAGAAAATCATGGAAAAATTCACCCGCGGCTGTGCAAAAATATTCCGAAAATTTGCCAAAAACTCTGACAGATACTTTGAACCCAGAGCTCGTAAACATTTGCCAAAACCATAATTTGTTGTGTGCGCAAATTGTTAGATAGATTCCATTTAACTTTTGACTCCACCTCAAATGGGGGACCGAGTTTCCAGGTAGCTGCCATTCAATCCAATTGAGTTTTTGGCTTTTCCTATTACTGCAGCATGTATCCAAGTGTTCAACGAATCGTATGTGCAATTGTGTCTAAATTTAAAGCCGAGTACCATTTATTTTTGAGGCGAATCACATGCATATGGAATGGCATGGGAAAAGAACTGGCGCCTGCATTTTTATGGCATTCTGGCGACGTCGCTGTCGTTGTGGTTGTCGTCTGGACGCGTCCGTCACCGCGAAAAAAAAGGTGTCAGGATCTTTTTTGTATTCCACATTTTTTGACAGATGGACAGGAGATGTGTGGGGGTCTGAAAATGATTCCGCAGAGTCGTGCGGAAGTTGCAACTTGTGATAAAAATCGTGTGTCAATTCGATTTGTGACGTTAACCGCTGCCTAAACAACAACAACAAAAGCCGGCAGTTTTTGCAGGCTTGAAAAATGTTTCTGTTGCAATAGAAAAACGGACGCGTTACATGACATTTGTGGCAGCGAATTGGCAGCTTCCACAGGCTGCCTGCTGGATGCAATTGCACAAACCTGACTGACGCCCAGAAATTTCTAGGTGGGTGGGGCAGGCTGTTGAGGAGATTGCCTATGTGCAGTCAAAAAAATCAAAAGAACTAGAGGTTCAACGAACAAAGGGATTGTTTCAAATATTTGCATATATTTCGAAAAACAGAACATGGGTTATTTCACTTCATCTTGGTTCAAGAACCGAAAAGCTCTTCAATGGTCTTGCAAGTTGAAATTAAAAACTTGATATGAAGTGATCGATTTAATGTTACGTAGAATCAATTTTGACTTGATATGCGTCATATTAATTCGATATGATCGAAATGTAAGCAACATGTTCTAAGTTGGCCAGTTCGAATTTTGAAAATGTCTTTCTCCCTCCCACTCATGCCAAAATCGGCAAAAAGATATTATTTAATCTTAATTTTACAAGAATTGTATAGTAAAAACGATGTGCTTTGATCCAGGTGTGTGTTTTTATGGGTGTAAGTATAATGTTTGAAATAATTAAATAGTGCAGACCCGCCAGATTGTTGGGAGAGTATCTTACCCACCTGTATAATGATGTAACGGTAAAGATCCAGTCGTGTTCGACTGAAATATCAAATGAAAATTCTAAGTAATCCCCTTCGGGCTATAAATTCCAGACATATAAACGGTAGCCAATTCCAGGCCTGGCCGCACCTACGCCGAACCAGACAAAATGCCCAGGATGGCGAAACACCCAGACTCTCCGAGCGTAACAGGGCCATCATTCACATCGTCAAGATGTGCATCCTGCTGCTCCTCTGGCTGGGCTGCACCGTTATCGTCTTCGTGTTTGCCGCCGAGGAAAAGCCGCTCAATACGATGGTCACCGTGATGCCCAACCAAACGGTTTTGCGTAAGGTGGACCTGCCCCACAATGGGGTGAGAGTAACGCTGCTCGGACCCGTGGACTGGGAGCTCATGCGGTTTCCCGAGGAGGATAACGGGGTTTACGGGGCGGGCCTGCGGTTGGAGTGGCGCAATTCCGATTTGAATGTCACCTACCGCCGGACGGACATGTGGAACATTGTGATGGCCAGCGATGGAACGTCTTACAACGAGGTGTCCAAGAACTTCAGGATGCACCATCAGGCAGATCGACAGGCTGTAATCTCCCTGGAGAGCAAGCAGGACTCACCGGTGTCCCTGCACATGGTGGTCAACAACAATCCCCTGATCACCGACATGTGCGTCCTTTATGCCGGCCTCCTGATTCTCGGCCTTTACATGCTGATCATTTTCGACATTATAGATCACACCTTCGCCGCCCTCATCATAGCCACTACTGCGATCGCCGTTCTGGGGATCCTGGAGCATCGGCCCAATGTGCACACGATCATATCCTTTGTCAACTTCGAGTCCCTGATGCTGCTCTTCGGTCTGATGACCATTGTGGACATAATGGCGACCACTGGCGTCTTTGAATATTTGGTTGTTGGCACCTACAGGATCTCCAGGGGTCGTCCTTGGCCTTTGATATTTTTCCTGAGCATGCTGACCGCATTTCTGTCCGCCTTCCTGAACAGCGACATTATGGCTTTGGTGTTGACCCCCATAACCATACGATTGTGCGAGGAGATGTCCTTGCGGACAACCTACGTGCTAGTCGTAGTGGCCATATTCGCGGACATGGGTGGCGCCCTCACGCCCATGGGCAATCCTCCGAATGCCATCGTAACCACCAATCCGGCTGTGGTGGCCGAAGGCGTTGACTTTGTCCAGTTCGTGATACACATGCTGCCGGGAGTGCTGGTCGCCATGTTCGTGGTCTTCGGGATAGTCTATGCGACGCATAGGAAGAGTATCTTCGTGCTGGACCAAAATCAATTGGATCTGATGGAGGAGAAGAAGACGGCGGGGGACAAGAAGCCACCCAGCCAGGAGACCCTGGAGCGCATAGCTCAATTGAAGCAGAAAAAGCCGGGAAGGTATTGGCTGAATCCCGTGGATAACTTTGCAGAAACGTTGGCGGGTCTGGAGGAGGGCAATCGGATTAGGGACAAGCCGCTGCTAATCAAGTGCTGCATCGCCCTGATCTTCGCCCTCCTCTGCATGATCCTCCACTCGATACCCACGGTGGCCGATGGCGCCTCCCTGGGTTGGGTGACCCTGCTGGCCGCCTTCCTGCTCATCATCCTGGACGACAAGAACGACTTGAACGCCACTCTGGGCATCATCCAGTGGATCATTCTCCTCTTCATCGCCGCCCTCTTCGTGCTCTCGGAGGCCGTGGATCAGCTGGGACTCTTCGAGTGGATCGGGGACCGGACTGTGGTCCTGCTGACCAGCCTGGAACCGCAGCACCAGACGGCGGTGACCACCATGGTGCTCCTCTGGACCACCGCCCTACTGACGATCTTCATCGACAACGCCGCCGTCACCATCTTTATGCTAAAGTTCAGCTTCCAAATGGCCAGCAAGGATGACATTCCACTGCCCCCGATGTTCTGGGCCCTGACATTCGGCGCCTGTTTCGGGGGAAATGGATCCCTGTTCGGGGCCGTCTCTAATGAGATCATCGCCCTGATCGCCCTCCAGCATGGCTACAAGATCTCCTTTTGGCACTTCTTCGTCATCGGATTCCCGTTGATGCTGGTGACCATGGTGATCGGTTCCGCTTACCTTCTAATTGCCCACTCGGCCTTAAACTGGAACTAAGCCCCGAGTTTCAGTTGGTAAGCAAAGAAAATATTTGTATGTAATTGCAAATATCAATGTATTTTGTCCATATACCTGTCATATCGAAATATAAATCTTAATAATATTATCTTTATTAGTCTTCAAAAAAATTAAATGTTTTAATGTCTAAGACTTTCTGGGTAAAACAATAAAAATTTTACAACTTAAATGTATAATTATTGGTCATAGTTATAGTCATAGTTAAATAGTTATTCTTACATATTCCCCTCCCGAATAACTAGCATTTAATCAGCAAAGAGGTTTCCATTGCGAGCATTTTGGACAAACTTTCTTTTATGTCACTTTTCTAGTCCACAAAAAACCAAAACGCAGACAAGAGCACGCGGAACGTGTCCAAGTTTTGATGGCTGACAGCAGTGGGTGCTGCATTTTGGCCACAATTGTCAGGTGTCGCGATATTCCACCGCCTGTCAATCCAATTTCAGTCCGATATTCCATCGATTTTAAACAGCCAGAAGGGCGATGGATTAATCCCCAAAATACAACGACAAATATAAAAGGACTTGCCTCTCGCTTACTCCTATGCTTAGTACTAGGCTTTTGCCTAGCTAGCTAGGCATTGGAGTAAGCGAGAGGCAAATGGGACTTTTTTCACCGCGGTACTCAGATAAGCCAAAGAAATGGTAAGAAAATACCAAAAAAAAAAACAGATTTAGCGGATGAACGCCTTTAGCCGCGGCCCAAAAGCCTAGTACTCAGTTCGGCTAAGAGTTTTAGGGTGAACTTCCGTTTAGCTCCAACCCCCGATTTCGTTCAAACTTTCAAAATCCACGTTATTTGGGGTCCTGATTACGGGAAAAATAGTCAAAGTTGGCGCAAATAACGGCATCATGGAAAATAACGGTAAAAACTGTTTTTCTTAAATATCTTCGAATATAATAACCTAATCAAAAAGCTAGCTAGGAGAAATGAAAGCTATTAAATAAATGAGTATTTTATGTTTTATACATTTTTTCTGTAAAACTAATAGTTTTCGTAAAAAAACGCTAAAAAAGAATATTTTTTCATAATAATTGAAAATAAAAAACCGTTGGAGCACACTTGCGTCATTTTGCCCGATATATCGCACGAAAGCTTCATGTTATATCGGTGTGTCAAAATTTATATCGATGTCTCTCGATGTATTAGCGATGATACTACCTAAGCACGAGAATGGCATTACATATTTTAGGAAGAGCATTTCAGTTCTCGTAGTTAAATATAACATTTAGAAAACAAAATAAAATACGAACAAAATAAATTCGAATTTTTGCCTGCGGCGCTTTCCTCGCCCGTACCTTACTACTTTCTTTAAAAGCTTATCCACCTTTCATTCAGGTCATCCGTTCCATTTCCTTTTTTCGAGGAGCATGAACACGATACATCGTATAAAAAGGCAAAATAGGTCCATCACTAGAGTAGAAGGTAAAATGCTGTTATCGACTAATCGAAAACTATCTGTCGCCATTTTATGGCGGGATATTGTAGTATTTTAAAATGTTCACACCCAATTTAAAATACTTCTTTTAGTTTTTCCTCGAAAACCTTTATGTTGACGATGAAAATGATCAATACAACAAGCTACTGCTTAATCCAGATAAATGTAAATCCATGTCATTTTATCGATCCAATCCATATATTTGTACATACTCAATAGATCACTCTGCACTTGAACGCGTTGATACTGTTCTTGATCTTGGTGTCCTATTCGACAATAAGATTTGTTTTAATCTCCACGTCAGTACCATCTCCAATAAAGCTAAATGCTTTACGTCTCTTTAATTCGTCCTACACTTGAGTACTGCTACAGTGTTTGGTCTCCACAATATGAGCACTATTAAAATATGATAGAATCCGTCCAAAAGCAATTTCTCCTTTTTGCACTACGAGGCTTAAACTGGGAGGAGGGACGCCGTCTGCCTTCTTATAGAGACAGGTTCCGCCTCTTGGATCTACCTACCTTAAAGGATCGTCGGACCTGTTATGGTGTGATATTACTTCACAAACTCATCACTGGCGTCGTCGACTCAGTTGATCTGTTAGCCACCCTCAATTGGAACGTTCCTTGCAGAGCTACTCGCCGATTCCGTCCATTAGCACTTCCTGTGTGCAGGTCAAACTACTCCCGTTTCGACCCCTTCCGAATCCTATGTGATAACTATAATGAACTTTATCACCTCATATCCTATGAGTGCTCTGCCAAGGCTAATTCGCTAAAAGTCATTGCGTTCCTTTCTTCATCGACTTAATAAGTTCTCCTACGTTACAATAAAATTATTGTTTGTTTTTTAAATTTATGATGTATATAATATTAAGTCTATTGAGCAGTACATTGCTTTAAATAAACAAAAGATCCGTTTTATAAATATCTTCTGTTTTTGTTTAAAACATTTTTTGATTTTTCTTTTATTTTCCGAAAAAAACTGCAAAAAACCGAAAATTTTACAATTTTTACCGTTATTTTTCAAGATCCCGTTATTTGCGCCAACTTTGGCTATTTTTCCCGTAATTAGGACCCAAAAACACGTCAATATGGAAAGTTTGAAAAAAATTGGGGGTAGGAGCTAAACGGAAGTTTATCCATTTTCTTATATTTGTATGAATATTCCTATGGGAGCCTTAAGATATAGTAGTCCGATCCGGCTCGCTCCGACATATGTACTACCTGCAATAGAAAGAAGACTTTTGGGAAAGTTTCATCGCGATAGCTTTAAAACTGAGAGACTAGTTCGCATAGAAACGGACAGACGGACAGACGGACATGGCTAGATAGACTCGGCTATTGGTGCTGATCAAGAATATATATACTTTATGTGGTCGGAAACGACTCCTTCTTTGCGTTGCAAACATCTGACTGAAATTATAATACCCTCTACAAAGGTATAAATATTAATCTTTTAGTGTGACCGAAGTTTTCGGAGTTCATCCGCAATGCATGTAGCAGGGTCTTATGCCCTTTCCTCACCAGAGCTGAATGTAGCATTTTGACATTTTTTGGTATATGTTACATTTTTCCCATATATTTTCAAGTGGTTCTAGTGGTGGGAGAAAAGAGCATTCGACAATAAATGCTACTACATTTTGATATTCTCGTGCCTAAAATACCAAATATCTGACTATCGACAAAACGGCCATCGCAAAATGTTCGAAATTATCAAGGCCCACTATAGATAATTTCTCTGCAGAAAAAAAATTACGAATAACTGCAGTTAACAAAATCTGACCAATCTTTTGCCGCTCCGGTTTGTCACAGGAAGTAAGAGGCAACAAACCACCATATCGATAAGACCACCGAAGGATTGCCAAATCAACAACAAAATGATCCCAAAAAAAGATCTAATGTGCATTGCATAGCAATATATAATGCAAACAAAAGCTTAATAAAACATTCAAATCTTTATTGTCCATGGTCAATACATTTGATTGTTCAAATCTCCTGCTTGCGGATTAGTATTTGAGAAATTATGCCCATATCTCAGGTTTTGAAAAATGTCTTTCTCATGAAAAGCTTTCAACGCTTTCCTTTGTGTTTCCGTGCCTGCGCTGTTTCTCTAGCTGTTTCTGAATTTTCAGCAGAAAACACATGACAAACATAAGATAATTTTTGTTAGCATTGAATATTTTGAATTTAAAAGCAAAGCACATCTGTTTTCAAAATAATAAATGCTGAATGCTAAATGCTGTCCCGTGCGGACAGGAAATAGCATTTTTTTGAATACCGAAAAAATACTACAGTATGTACATCAGTGAGGAAACGGCATTACTCTCAGCAAACAAATCAACTGGCGCCAATTTTAAAATATTACAAAACGTTGAGCCGACCTGGGTCGCAAGCTTTAAATTCCCTGTTGGAATGGCGATATGTATTGCAGCAACTCCTACAGGCAGTTTTCCATTGGTTTTTGTGGTTTTCCTTCCATTTATACATTGTTATTGGCAAACCGCTTCTGCACAAACACAGCCAAAGATCAAATTTTTTATTCTTTGGGCCGCGGCTAAAGACGTTCATCGGAATTCATCCGCTAAATCTAGTATTTTTTGGTATTTCCTTACCATTTCCTTAGCTCAACTGAGTACCGCGGTGAAAAAAGTCCCCGGCTAAAGGATTTAGCTACCTATTTGCCTCTCGCTTACTCCTATGCTTAGCTAGCAGTTTTCGTCGTACTGAGTACTAGGCTTTAATTCTGTAAGCAATATATTGATTTGGTGGAGTGTGAAAGCAGTGTATTGATTAGGTTTAAGTGATTTATATACCGATAACTATTATTTATAAGTAATGTACCAATTCCGCCGTTTCAATATTGCTAAGAACTTTGTATAATGTGAGGATCGGAGAACGGTGATTTATATACCGACAACTATTATTTATAAGTAATGTACCAATTCCGCCGTTTCAATATTGCTAAGAACTTTGGATTATGTGAGGATAGGAGAACGGTCACACTATCAAAAGGCAGAAGCGAACACGTTGCTTTTTCCTTCGCTTCCAGCTCCGCTTGTTGCTCCGCCTGTTGCCTCGCCTGTTGCTTCTCCTCCTTCTTCTTCTTCTTCTCTTACTTGTGGCGGTATGCCTCCTGCACATCGGCTTCGTGGGCGGCCTGCTTCCTCCGCTTCCACTCCCGATGCGCCGTCTCGAAGTCCTTTTCGACCGCTCTAGATATCTTCTATGCATCGATAACATGAACTTAACAAATGTTAACCCACAACTCTATAGGGTGAATTAATTGGATCGACAATGATTTTTTTTTATTAAGTTTGAAAAACAATAATTTTTTTATCGATTCTGGGGACGAATTACAGCGCAAGTCCGTCAGTACTGATTTTAGTGCTGAAAATGCTCACTCCACGCTGACTTGAGTAGCGGGTACACTGTGAAGAACTTTCGCCAACTCATATAAAAAGAGAAATTGAAATTTTGCCTCCTCCCAATATTCCATGATGCCAGAGGTATCGCAATCGGGGAGTAGTTTTCAATTTCTTTAAAAGCTTGTTTGACCTCTTCTTCAACGTGTGAATCACTCGCGTTTACTCTAACTTCTATGGAGTCTAAGAAGTCGGTCAATAATGATTGCTGTTGAGAGCTCCAAGATGGTTGC